CGTCAGCGTTGCTGCTCGCTGTTGTTGTTGCTGCTGTTGTTTGTGGTCGAACGCATTGCTGCGGCGCTCGTGTATTTTCAGTTTCGGTCTCAGTCTCAGTCTCCTTGGGCTTGTGCAACCGTGAAAATGTGCGCCGCGTCGCGTCTGTTGTGGAAAAATATGAAAAGTTTCTGAAATGTATATATATAAAAGAAACCTCTTCTATATGTATGTGTGCGTGTTTATGATGATAATGTATATAGAAATGTTGCTTTCGATAACAAATAATTTGTTGTGCAAAATGATAATTTCGTTAACGGACGACCGAAGCAGCTGTTAATCATATTAACTAAAAGAAACAAAAGAAAAGAAAAAGAAAATTGAACGCAACATTTCAAGTGTCTGCGAGTGAGCGTGTGTGTGTGTGTGTGGGCGGGCAGCATGCCAAATATATTAGTTCAATTTATGAATTACATACACACATATACAAAGTATGCATGTGTGTGTGTGTTTAACTGTGCTTCAGTCTGTGTCTCTGATTAACGAAAATAAAAAAAAGAACATGAAGCTAACCATCTTATCTGCGTGCAATGCCGGTTGACAAGTGACTGTGTGGCTACTGTATATATAAAGAGTATACACATATATACACATACATATATGTATATAGCATATATACAAGTGTATATGAAATGAATATGAGTTTTCTGCAATTGGAAATGAGATCATCCACAGCCATGGAACGAATCGAATCGAATGCTGAAATGCGTTTTTTATTTATTTTGTATTTTTGTTGTTGTCTCTTTGTCTGCGTGTGGCCAACGGAAAGTTTTACTTCTACTTGAAGTCTTCTGGCAACGACTACGGCTATGTAATTGGCCAGAAGTGGAAGCATTCGCGTGAACTGCCTTCCGCATTGTTGCCAAATGCAATTGGCTAAAAAAATAGAATAGCGAAAGGCATTTTTTCGGTAGCTGCTGTCGAGCAGACTTTGATATGGGTCCAAGCAAATTGATGCTGTTTCGATTGAGAATGCAAACTAGTCTGTGAGGGGGAGGTGGGAGACGGAGAAGAGGGTGTAAAATGAGGTGAGTGAGGTGGGTAAGGAGAGAAAGAAGAGAATGTAGAGTAACAACAAAGGCGAGAGAAGATAGACGAGTGAAAGAAAAAGCGAGGAATTTTAGGAGAATGAGCAAGGAAAACAAAATGAAGAGACAGGAGATATGTGAGAAAGAGGGGAATATGGAGAATCATGAAAATGAGACGAGAAGTAGACTGATAAGAGAATGAGGCGAAAGGATAGAGGATAATGAAGACAGTCGAGAGACGGGAGATAAAGTGTGGCTACTGGAGAGAGCAGATTAGAGGTGTGAGATGGAGGGAGCAGAGTGGGAGACTAGAAGCACTGACAAGAGAAAGAAAAGGTATAGTGGAGATAAAGGACGAGGGAGATGAAGGATAGAGGAGATAGAAGAGAGAAGTGAGAGAAGATACCAAGAACAGAGTAAACCGATAAGCGACGAGCGATGAGAGAATGCAGACTGAGAATAGAGTTGCGATAAGAGAAAATGGATAGAAAGGGGAGAGTGGAGAAAGGAGAAGACTTAGGCATAGGTACAGCTACAGATTAAGCTAGAACTAAAGGTAGAGCTAGCAGGAGAACCTAAGAGGAAGTTGAGGCGGAGGCCGAGTAAAAATTAGAGCAAAAAGGCATGCAATGGCATATGCATAGCCAAAGGCAGAGCTAGCGGAGCTAGAAGAGCTAGCTGAATCTAAAGAGTAAAAGTTGTTCATTTTATGCAACTGCAGCGGGCAACTGAAACGGGCCACTGCAACAGCAGCAGCAGCAGCAACAGCAGCAGCAACAGCAACAACAGCAGCAACAGCAGCAACTGCAATGTAGGCCAACAAGTGCGTTGAACTACAAATTGCTCTTTTCTATTATTCTATAGAGCAAGGAATGCATGGGCGCAGGCAGCTCGCAGCCAGTTGCAGCCAGCTAAAGTTTGGCCAGATGTAAGGCATAAAAAAAGAGAGAAAAAGCATCACACATAGAGATGGAAAATATTTCATTTTGTGGCCAAGTCGAAATGTGATTGAACCTAAGGTGCACATGTGCATATCACGACTTTAATTGCCTCCCAGATCTATTTACAGCTGGTTGAGGCCATGGCTAAGTCCTCTTGTTTGTGATTGTCATAGGAGTGGGTAGGGGGGAGGGGCAGGCGGAGGCAGAGGCAGAGGCAAAGCGATTTGTGGCAAATGGCAAATGTATTTATCGATTGCGTGTGCTAAAACGTTTTTAACTTGCTTTCCTTCCTCTGGACAATCAGCAGCGAGCGCCCTCAGCCAGCCCAGGCCAGGCCAGGCCAGGCCAGCCGAGCAGAGCAGCCCGCAGTGCTTCCTCGTTGCTGCTCGTTTTGGCTGCCTGCCAGTTAATCTAAACTTCTGCTGGCAGCCCTTGTGTGTATAGTGGGCACAGTGGGGCAATTACAGAAATTACAGAAAATTTGGTTTTTAGTTGAAATTTAGAGGAATTTTGCTAAGACGAGACATCGTTTATATATATATTCTATTATCTTCAGCTGCACTTGGTGCACTTTTCAAATTGCTAACTAATCTATGGGAACTGGCTATTGTAGCTGTCTATCAATATCATAAGATACACATTCTATCTGTCGTAGATTATGATAGATATATAATCAGAGTTGATATATAATCAGACTAGATATATAATCAGAATAGATATATAATCAGAATAGATATATAATATATAAATATATAAATAATCACAGCAACTATCATAGTTTTCTGCTATAATTATAATATAGCATATCTATTTCTTTAGCTAGCTAGCTAGCATAAAAGTCTACTATAACTAGCTAACATAGCTATCTACAAAAAGAATTTCCCAATTCTGGCCACAGCACTACTATCAATAGCAAAACTAAACTCTTTATCTTATATATGTATCATAGTTATCTAGAGCAACTATTTATTGTAGCTTAGATATGAGCTATACCCATCTCTTTTCTACTATGGTTGATAGTAATCAGAGCTACTTTTTATCAAGTCTATCTAATATACTTGATTTTGAATTCCAGCTAGAACAACTATCTCTTATTAGGTAGATCTATCATACCCAGTGTCTATTATAAGAATTTTATTAACTGGAGTATATATTATTTGGTAGGTTAGTTTTTGTAGGTTCCCTCTGGATATAGCTTACAATAGTCTAGTCTGAAAACTTTAAATTTAAATTTTCAAATGTAAATTTCATATCAATCCGAATATGCATTCGATGGGAGATTTCTCAGCTTTGTGTCTGGGCTGAATAAAAACCAAAATTTTTTTTATATTCTATATAAATTCTAAATTCAAGTCTCGCATAGTAATTGCAGCATCAATTCAGCTATGAGGCCCACTGTGCAGCGCTTATATAGCTTTGGCAGCCATTTTACTGTTGCCTCGGTAGCTGCTGCTGCGGCGGGTGCTGCTGCCGCTGCTGCTTCGCGTATAATGAGTAGAGTCCTTGTTAGAGGAGTGAAAGAGATGGATAGAGAGTTAGAGAGAGTTTTCCTCAATATTCGATATGTTTTTCCTTGTTGTAGTTGGGTTTTTCTTTCTTTTGGGTTTGCTTCTGCTGCATTTGAAATGGGATTTTTACGAGTTAAGTTTTTTGCGTTGTTGTCTGCAATGTTCCTTTGTGGCCAACAGGGCGTGTCCCTGGACGTGTCTCTTCCCTCAACATTAACTTATCTGCATGCACATAATATGTCTGTGGATATATGCATATAATATCTCTTGCTTATGTCAGTCAACAAAAATGTCAAAACACCTGGTTTCTTGGCACACGATTCGGTTGATATTCGCGATACGATATGCATATGTGTGTTGTATGTGTGAGTCGCTGAAATAGTCCAAGTGTCCGTGATGTTTGTGTATAGCCGTATGCCCCTGCGGCTGTCGGATTTCAAATAGATTTCGTTGCAGTGAACGTCGAGTGAAGTCGAATTTCATTTCCGTTTAGCGAGTTGGCAAAGTGGGCTAAATGGCCAAAAGCAAGGACTCTCAGTTGGCAGTTGGCCTCGATGCAAGTTTCGTTTTGGCTAAAACTCCACGAACAGGCAGAGGCACCCGTAGTGCCCCATTCTCAGTCGAAATTGTATACTAGAAAACAGAATTCATAATTTGCCGCTGCTGGCAGAAAACTCATAAATATCATTTCTATACGCGCAGCCAGAATGAAAACAAAATATAAATAAATATCTATGTATATAGACAACTGTGTGACTGTACACACACCAAAAACACACACTCACACACACACACATACATGTGAGTGTAGTTGGTGCAGAGAAACTTACGCATTGGAGGCAAAACAAAATGATTTAAAAATAGAAAAAAGTACCAAGAAATCAAAATCGAAATCAAAAAGTGCAGTGTGAAGAGCAGAGTCAAAAGACACAAAAAAAAAAAAGAAAAACTAAAAACAAAAACAAATTCTATAAAGCTAAAGTGTGAATCCGATCAATGGAATGAGCCCCGAGCCCTTCAGGAGCAGCAAGGGAGAAGGGGAGCGAGTGCCTATGACTATAAATAAGAACAGAGCCAAGCAAGTTGGCAACAAGTGAAGTGAAGTAGCAGCCACATCGATTGGGTCTTTTGTCCCTGAGACTGCGTTGGTCCGACGTAACGCCAACAACAGTCCAATAAACCAAAAATAAAATCAACGCGGGCAGCAACAAAAGCTGCGAGCAACAACAGCAGCAGCAGAGCAGCTAGCAACATTTTAGAAACTACAAAAACAGCAGCAACAAACGAAGGCAACATTTGTCGTAGCAGCACGAGTCTCATTTGCCGGCAACACCAACAGCGCAACATTTGCTGAGAACAGAACAAAGCTGGAAACATTTGCTGAGAAGTTGCAAAACGGGACTAGCAACAGTTAGCAACATTTGCCACGGCAACATCTAACGCTGTCAGCATTTGCTGCAGCAACATTTGCACAGCAACTTGACTACAACGATAGCAACATCAGCTGGCAACATTTGCATAGCAACTTGACTACAACGATAGCAACAGCAGCTGGCAACATTTGCTGCAGCAACATTTGAGTAGCGCCTTTGCAACTCGATGTTGTTGCTTTTGCTTGCCTTCATTATGAGATTCGTAGACATTTCCAAAATGCAACGGCGTCAACGCTGCACGTCGTGTGCCAGCGCCGGCATTGAATGCCCGCGCAACAGCAGCAACAACAACAACAGCAGCTGCAGCAACAACAACAACAACTCAACTGCTGATGCCAATGGCAACACGCAGTGCTGGCAACATGTGGCTAGCGCAAGCAACAGCAGCAGCACCAGCAGCGGCTGTGACAGCAACAGCTCCTCCAAGGAGAACTACTATGCACCGCAGCAACAGCAGCAAAAGCAGCAACAGCAGCAATATTACAACAACAATGGACTGACGCCACAGCAACTGCAGCAGCTGCGTTACTATCAATGCATGCAACAGCAACAATTGCAATTGCTGCAACAGCAATTGTTGCAGCGTCGTCGATTGCAGCAGCAGCTGCGCGACCAGGGCGTCAACATATGCAAAGCAACAACAACAACAACAACAGCCGGACTCACCTGCAATCAGCAATATTTGATGCAGCAGAGGCAGCAGCAGCAACAATATGTTGCCAATTGCAACAACAATAACAACAACAACAACAATGAGCAGGACAAATTCTACAATCTAAACAACATCATCAACAACAACAACAACAATCGTATTGGCCCAAATGTGGCTCAAGGTGCGCAGTCTTAGCCCTAAGTCTTTGTCTTAATCTTTATCTTTGTCTTTGTCTTTAAGTCAATTCCAATTTAATTCTGTTTGCTCGCCTTTGAACTCGTTCCTCGGGGCCTCTGCAAACAATTTGCTCAGCCAAAGAGCTCGGCCAATATTATTATTTCTTGCTCAAATTGACTTTACTCAACGAGCGCCGCGGAGTCTCTTGAGACTTTCCTCAATTGAAACAGAATTGGCATTAATAACGTAAAAGTGGACTTTAAGTGAATTCCTTCTCAGTTAATTAATCTCGAACCACAAACTGCAGTCGACTGTACTTGCAATTATGTTGTTTACAATATGATATAAGAGCTCAATTGTAAATAAAATGTAGAACTTGTTAAGGAATTGCATGTAATATACAGAGCGAAGCATTAAAGATTCTTTAAGTACTATACATTAATATTCTTGTTGAGCTGAATAGATCTAGCTATGATCAGGGTATTTGCTAGTCGGGCATGCTTAAGTAGAGCATGTACACGGTTAGTTGACCGAGTAGAGCTATCTTATTTGCTATTATTATGATTATTTATAGGTATATTTAGGGAAGAGAAGAAATATGTTAAGTATTCTCATATATATCCACATACTTAGTATTCAGCATGGTGCTATAAAAATTTCATAACGATTGTACAACTAGAAGCTGAGTTCAATTGAGCTATTTACCCCTTATGGGTAGCTGTAGGCAGATCAAGTCACAGTCAACGCTTAAAGTGAGCTGTAAGTGAAGCGTGTGCTTATCCATGTGGGTGTACACTTGGGTATATGTATGTCTCTCTCAGTATGCATAGACAATAAGTCTAAATGGATGCTTACGTATCTTTCAGTCGGGGAAATCTTAATTAGCTCAACTTTTGTTTACATATTTCTTACAAAATGGCGGCTAGTTCAATTGTCTTATCTGCCTAGGCAATCAAATGTGTTTAGCGCACGAGATATGTCATAGATCTTACATAAGTCATGTAATAATGCAGTTGCTCTATTTATCTTTATTGAATTTTCGTTTGAGTTGTCGCTGACTTCACGAAATAGAAATCACCTCGTGTCACGCAAGTCTTCTTCTTCTTCTTGCACCTGCCCTGCTCTAATTGACTTCACCTCTGCAGTTGCATGTGCAACGCTCTGAATGCCACAGCACTGGCTCCACATTTAATTGAGAGCAGAGCGGAGTCAAATTGGAGTTTCTTCGGCCCGGGTCATAGCGCTTGTCGTCGCTGCTGAGTCATAAAACATGATTTCCATTAGCTGCCCCAATCGTTATGCCCCAATAAGCTAATTGGGGGAGGGTGCTGGTGGAATGGGCGTGTGGCATGCTAATGCGCATTAACTAGAAGCTATAAATGTTCCATAGACTATAAACTATAAAATCAATTGGAAATGATAGAGTGAGGCATTTCGATAACTTAAGTTATCGATAACATTCAATTGGAGTAATTTTAGATATAGATTTAGATATAGATGTAGGTATAGATATAGATATAGATATAGATATAGATATAGATATAGATATAGATAT